TCCCCCCTCTTCTCTCTCTCTGTCTCCCTCCCTCTCTTCTTTCTGTCTCCCTCCCTCCCTCTCTTCTCTCTTCTCTCTTTCTCTCTCTCCCTCCCTCCCCCTCCATCTCTTTTCTCTCTCTTTTTTCTCTCCCCTCCTTCCCCCCCTCTTCTCTCTCTCTGTCTCCCTCCCTCTCTTCTTTCTGTCTCCCTCCCTCCCTCTCTTCTCTCTTCTCTCTTTTTGTCTCTCCCTCCCTCCCCCTCCATCTCTTTTCTCTCTCTTTTTTCTCTCCCCTCCTTCCCCCCCTCTTCTCTCTCTCTGTCTCCCTCCCTCTCTTCTTTCTGTCTCCCTCCCTCCCTCTCTTCTCTCTCTCTCTCTGTATCTCTCCCTCCCTCCCCCTCCATCTCTTTTCTCTCTCTTTTTTCTCTCCCCTCCTTCCCCCCCCCTTCTCTCCCTCTGTCTCCCTCCCTCTCTTCTTTCTGTCTCCCTCCCTCCCTCTCTTCTCTCTTTTTTCTCTCTCTCTGTATCTCTCCCTCCCTCCCCCTCCCTCTCTTCTCTCTCTCTTTCTCTTTTTTCTCTCTCTCTCTTTCTTTGTCACCCTTTCTCTTTCTCTCTCTCTCGCTTCCCTCCATCCCTCCCCCTTCTCTCTCCAGTTTGCCAACATTTAGGAAAAGTAGCTTTAAAAGAAAGAAAAAAGTTCCCTGGTGCTGCTTTCTACCAAAAAGGCAGAAAGAAATGGCCATGGTTTTTATGCTTATACCTGGAAATCCTAATTCAAAATAGGGTGCATCTGAGTTTACCCATCACACTGAAGCCCAATCCAATCATCACTTGTATGGTTTACTGAAACGTGTGACTCTTGTGTCTTGCCACATGGATGCTTATCTAAGACAGGGCCCTGGTGGTCAAGGTCTCCAGAAAATCTGATCCATAATCAATAAGCAACTTTTGTATGTTAAAACTCAGTAGCAGCAGCAACAGCATCCCTGAATGGAGCTGAGAGTTTACTGGCCAGATGCCTTTCCTGTTGCCAATGCGGAGTCTTCTTCAGCAGATATATTCTCATTTTGCCCAGAGAGAGAAATATCTGCCTCTACCTGGGATCGAACTCACAGCCTCCTGATTGCGAGGCGAGAGCTCCACCTTTAGGCCACTGCACCATTCATTAAAACTCAGTAGCGTCCGCTGGAAGAGTGGAGGTCACAGCAGCGGAGATGAAGGGTTTATAAAGGGTCAGGGCTTCAGTCATCCTGGTGTCCAGTGCACGGTATTTTTTGATTCCCCACCAGAGATCATACTGTCCCCGAAGTAGAACACTATGGAGTTGTCAGTACACTGCTGATTCAACTCCCATTAATGTAAGAAGGTAATTTAAAGCTCTGGGGAATACAGTGGCATTGCCAAGAACATGCCAATCATGTTTGCAGTCCAAAGACAAGCTACAGATCCTTGAAACTTGCTTGAAATGGATCAGAGCAGGGGGATGGTATTCTTATATACAATACAATACAATAGCAGAGTTGGAAGGGACCTTAGAGGTCTTCTAGTCCAACCCTCTGCCTAGGCAGGAAATCCTATACTGTTTCAGACAAATGGCTATGCAACATCTTAAAGACTTCCAGTGTTGGGGCATTCACAACTTCTGGAGACAAGCAGTTCCACTGATTAATTGCTCTAACTGTCAGGAAATTTCTCTTAAGTTCTTAGTTGCTTCTCTCCTTGATTAGTTTCCACCCATTGCTTCTTGTTCTACCCTCAGGTGCCTTGGAGAATAGTTTGACTCCTTCTTTGTGGCAACCCCTGAGATATTGGAACACTGCTATTATGTCTCCCCTAGTCCTTCTTTTCATTAAACTAGACATACCCAGTTCCTGCAACCGTTCCTCATATGTTTTAGTCTCCAGTCTCTTAATCATCTTTATTGCTCTTCTCTGCATTTTTTCTAGAGATTATGTTCCAAGATCATCCTTATGGTGTCAAATCTATCTGATTTGATTGCTTCATTTCCTTGGTGGGATTCTCAATTAAATGCATATAAAGTGGCAGCCTAAAACAAATTATTTAAGGGAGTAAAATGTTTTTAACATTATTGTTAGATGAATTTTTAACTTTTGTTCTCTTGTGTGAATGATATGATCTCCTCTTTACGCGTTGGTCATTTGGCTTGAATGAAACAATTTTTTTTTCATTCTTTGAATAATAATCAAATCAGTTGATGGTGTCTAAACTTCCCAGCAAATTAGGAAAGCTAATCAGTTGAAGGAAGAGTACCATAAGCATTCTCATTATTTAGAAAAACAAAATGAGTCCAGCAAATAAATCTAATAAATAGATAAACAAATTGTCAATGTGTAATTATGGTTGGCATTTTTAAATTGCTCTTTTAAAAAAGTATATTTTAAGTAAAATATAAGTATATTTTTTTTAGGATTTAAATGCCCTTTAATAATTGATAGAAAAGTTGTAGTTTGGCTTCCAGTTTGGATTTTTCTTAAAAAATTGAAATTATTGTATTTATTAAAATATATTTCTTCTCTTTATTCCTTGGTTTGTTTTAGGATGAAAAATCTTGTAAAGCGGTAGCTTGGATTGCATTTCTGGACTCAAATGAGATCTCCTCTATGATGGCAGATCATCCATATGAAGCATTGTTAATGTCCTGTAAATACAGTATTTGTCTTGGGTTTGTTTATTTCTTTTAATTTCAAAGTGTTTTTTTTTTTTAAATCTGCACAGTGCAAAAGATTCTATTCTGCAAGGGACAATGAAAGTGCTGCGTTTTAATGATAAAAGCATGAGAAAATTTAAATAAACTTACGTTTACTGATCTTCCACGCAGCGTTGTCAAATATTTTCTTGAGGGATCTTAAGGGCAGAGGTGAGAAGGATCCTTTTTTGGAATATGTTGGAGTGTACGAACTCTTCTTGGCTGTGGCGAGTTGTCTCATTCAGGGTCTGGCAGATGTGAGCAGCTGTTGGTTGGTGTACACAGATGCTTTGCTCAGCTCGAGGTCTAGAGGTGGCATTCTACCGGTTTGGACCAATTAGGGCAAACCGGTAGCTCCAACCATCAGCTGGGCCCACCTGCTCGCCTCTGCGCTGTACTGACCTACCGGGCTTTTCGGAGTATAAGATGCACTTTTTTCCCTCAAAAAAGAGGCTGAAAATCAGGGTGCGTCTTATACACTGAATACAGCATTTTTTGCTTCCCGAAATTCTGCCCCTTCACAATAATGGCCATGCATAGCCTTTAGGAGGCTTTCAGAGTGCTCCTGGGGGCTGGGGAGGGCAGAAATGAGCGAAAAACAGGCCCTTTTTGCTCAGTTCCCCCCTCCCAGCCTCCAGGAGCACTCTATAAGCCTCCTAAAGGCTATCCATGGCCTTTTTTCGACAAAAGGGCCCATTTTTGTGAAAAACGCACCGTTTTTTGCTTATTTCGGGGGGGGGGACCCCCCAGGAGCACTCTACAAGCCTCCTAAAGGCTATTCATCCCCTTAAAAAAAAGTGGGCCCATTTTCGCAAAAAACAGGCCGTTTTTGGGTTGTCTGCAGAGTGCAATTTTTTTTTTAATTTGCCTCTTCAAAATCTTGGTGCGTCTTATACTCCGAAAAATATGGTATATCTTCTCCGCTGAGTTGCGCGGCAGAGCGGATTGCCACACCTCAGCTGTTTTCCTCCCCAGCAGTAATGCGGAAGGTAAGTTTCTTCAGCGTGCGATCACCGAACCGGTTAGTTTAACCGGCAGGATCCCACCACTGCGGAGGTCCCAGCCGAAACGTTCATCCATCGAATGCCTCAGAAGATTAGAAGTACCAAATAAAAGGAGGAAAAACGTTGACCCGTAAAACAACTGAATGACGTTGTGCATGTTTCGGGCAAAGATAGATGCCCGAAAACCCCCAATAGCATACACTTTCTTTGAAAAAGTGTTCTTAATGCACTCTGCGAAAACCCAGCCAATTCCAGTTCTAGGAGCATCTTGCCTTAAAACCGTGATGGTGAACCTATGGCATGCGTGCCCGAAATGGCACATGGAGCCATGTCACCTGGCACGCGTGGCATTGCCCGTTCCTTTTCCGGGTTTCGGGCGCGCATGTGCACACAACAATCAGCTGACCTTCGTGCATGCGGCAGTGACATAAACCGAGCTGGTCTTCCGTTTTCCGGCATGAGCATGTATGCTGGTCAGCTGATCCGACGCAAGAGCATGCGTGGCAGTAACCGGAAGATTTGTTGGGAAACCACAAGTTCATTTTCCGACACGCGCATGCCCTCTGTGCTAGAAGCTCACGTCCGCACACAAAATGCTCTATTTTCGGCGCTCGGTGCCATGTGCTTGCGCTCTTTTCGGCACTCGGTTCACCATCACTGCCCTAAAGTCTCCCACATGATTCCCAGATCTGGTCCTGGCAGGATGGGAACACAAAAACAACACAAAACAAAGACGTCAGGGAAAACAAACTGTTGGGAACAAAGAAGAAAAGAGGGCATTAATCATCCTTGCCAAAGGGCTGGGCGAAGAGCCAGTCTTTGGGGGGCGTGGCGTTGAAATGCCATCTGCAATGTATGTTCACTGACCCACTTTTGGGGTGCCCAAGGATGCCTTGGATTAAAAAAAAATTCTCCCAAAGTTTCACCCTCAAATTTATCCCTTGCTTTTTTTCACCATCCCGGAAACTCTTTGTACAGGTGAGCTTTCAACTTACGACCACAATTCGGCCCAAATTTTTTTGTTGCTAAGCAAGTTAAAAGAGTTTTTGCTCTGTTTTACCTTCTTTCTGGCCCACGGTTGTTAAGTAAATCTCTGCCATTGTTAGCTTAAGGTTGTGAATCCGGCTTCTCCATTGACATCGCTTCTCAGAAGGTTGCAAAAGGGGACCACATCACCCCGGGACATCGTAACTGTCATAAATACGAGTCAGCGGCCATGGGCCTGAATTTGGATCACACAACCAGGGGGAAATGCTGCAATGCAGTGGTGGGATTCAAAAGTTTTTACTAGCGGTTCTGTGGGCATGGCTTGGTGGGTGTGGTGTGGCTTGGTGGGCATGGCAGAGGAAGGATGCTGCAAAATCCCCATTCCCTCCCTACTCCAGGGAAAGGATACTGTAAAATCTCCATTCTCTCCCTACTCCAGGGAAGGGATACTGCAAAATCCCCATTCCCTCCCTACTCCAGGGAAAGGATACTGTAAAATCCCCATTCCCTCCCTACTCCAGGGAAGGGATACTGCAAAATCCCCATTCCCTCCCTACTCCAAGGAAAGGATACTGTAAAATCCCCATTCCCTCCCCACTCCAGGGAAAGGATACTGTAAAATCTCCATTCTCACCCCACTCCAGGGAAAGGTTACTGCAAAATCCCCATTCCGTCCTGATCAGCTGAGACTCAGGAGGCAGAGGATAGATGGGGCTGGGGCCAGTCAGAGGTGGTATTTACCGTTCGCCAAACTACTCAAAATTTACGCTACCGGTTCTCCAGAACTGATCAGAACTTGCTGAATACCACCTCTGCTGACACGGTCATTAAGTGTGAAAAACGGCTGTCAGTCCCTTTTTTTCACTGCCATAGTGCCATTGTAACTGGAACGGTCGCTAAATGAACGGTTCTAAGTCTAGGACTACCTGTGTGTGCTTCATCTAACGATGGCAGCGGTTCATTTAACCACCGGGCGAAAAAGGTTGTAAAATGGGACAGGGCCCACTTGACGAGCGCCTAGTTTAGCAACAGAAAGGCTGATCTCGATTCTAGTCGTAAGTCAAGGACTGCCTAAGTTTGGTCTCTTTAAGAGTGGGCACCGTGGATGGCACAATGCATTCACGGCACATATTAAATCAAAGGGAATCCCCCCCCTACCCTTAGGGTCTCTCTTTTTAATAGCCCCCCCCTCCCTCCTTCCTTTGCTGGCCTGGATAGCCTCCCTCCATAGAGACCCCGCTGAAGCCGGAGTCTGATTTGTTATAAGGGAGACCTCAAAGGAGCGAGCCAGCCGCCCGGCCCCCGCCCATGGGAGCCACCCCCCCCCCCGAAGGGTCCGCTTGTACTTGGCTTTGAAAAGCGACGTTGGTTCCGTTCCTCGGAAGACCCTCGGAAGATCAGATGAGCTCCCCGGGCGGGACCTTCGCCTGCTGCAACCGACTCCCCGCGCCCCGCTCCAAGTTCGCTGAAAGTTATTGGAACCCCCGAAATCGCAGCCGCCGCGTGCCCGTCCGCGGGGCTTGTTCGGTTGCTAAGATCCGCCCGACGAGAGAGAGAACAGGCGGCGGCTTCTGAAGGCAGGAGAAAGAAAGGAGCAAGGGAAGGAAAGGGAAGAAGAAAAGAGAAAGGGGAAGGGAAGAAGGAAAGAGGGAAAGAAAAAGGGGAAGAAAAGGAGAACAGAGAAAGGGGAAGGGAAGAAGGAAAAGAAAGGAAAGGGGAGAGAGAAAGAGAAAGGGGAAGGAAAGGGAAGGGAGAAGGGAAGAAAGAAAGGAAAGGGGGAAAGAGAAAGGGGAAGGAAAAGAAAGGAAAGGGAAGGAGGGAGGGAAAGAAGAAAGAGAAAGGGGAAGGGAAGGGAAGGGAAGGGGGAAGGGAAGAAGGAAAGTAAGGAAAGGGGGAAAGAGAAAGGGGAAGGAAAGGGAAGGGAAGGGAGAAGGGAAGAAGAAAAGGAAAGGGGGAAAGAGAAAGGGGAAGGAAAGGGAAGAGAAGGGAAGAAAGAAAGGAAAGGAGGAAAGAGAAAGGGGAAGGAAAAGAAAGGAAAGGGAAGGAGGGAGGGAAGAAGAAAAGGAAAGAGAAAGGGGAAGGGGGAAGGGAAGAAGGAAAGTAAGGAAAGGGGGAAAGAGAAAGGGGAAGGAAAAGAAAGGAAAGGAAAAAGAAAAGGAGAAAGCAGAGCGAAGGGAAGGGGAAGAGGAAGGGAAGAAGAAAAATAAAGGAAAGGGAAGAGGGAAGGGAAGAAGGAAAGGGAAGAAGGAAAGAGGAAGAGGAAGGAAGAGAAAGAAAAGGGAAAAGAAAAGG